GAAACGTTAGGAAACAAAATTTCAAGAACACGGCCACACAGCCCGGAAGACCCACACCAGTTAGTTGTGTGCTTCTGAAAGCCTTGGCAACAAATGGGAGCCTGTCAGATACTGAAAGAAAAAAAAACTTTATGCATGAACTGAATACCAACTTTGGAATGATTGCTTGAAATACCCTCCAGTGTAATAGCAAATTATTGCATAAATGTCACTGTACCTCAATTTAATCTAGTGAAAAAATCCCAGGCAATGGGAAGACGTATTGGGTGAGGGAAGCAATATGTCTATTCTTTTTACAATTCACCCTGTGCAGGATTATTAGTTAGTAGAATATTGTCCCTGGACCTGGAGATACCAGATCTTTCCAGATTTCACTGAAATATGAAGCTGTGTGTTGCAGACATTTAATGTTACTTCATAATATTTTATTTAGTAATGGAAATCAGCACACAAGAGTTAATAGCATTCTGCAAGAAGCAGAACTATGAAGAGAAAGTGATTTGCTCTGTGGACAAGCATTCACAGATAGCAAGCATTCATACTTGCCAAATATGAATGAATCATTGTCCTTGAGTAGGAATACAGAACTATAGAAAGCTCTAGCACTTCCTCTGCACCTAAGGAGAAATGAGAACTCACTGTGATATTTGTTGTGCTTTCTCCTGAAATATAATAATCTTGAGCCTATCTGGATCTGTACTATTCCAGTTGAACCATGGTAAATGTAAGGGACAATTCTGGTATATTTTAGTTGAATGTTTTTGTTTAATCTATACAGGAACAAAAGGTGGACATTATGAAGGTAATCAAAGAACTCTGGCAGGACTTCTTACAATGTTACTCTTCCTGGCCTCTGCTGTGTTGGTCTGTATGGTGGGCCCTGTCAACATGTGGCTATTTCCAGGTCATAAACTATACTCAAGGCATGTGGGAAATTGTGCTGCCTTCTCAGACTTCTGAGATCTATAATGGTGCTGTGGAAGCCATTTCCACATTGTTGGGTAAGCTGTTTCTTAACTTGGTTTTCTTCTGATGGATGATGCATATTATTGTATTTTGCAATTGTCAAAACTAGTATTTCCTAATTTGTGGAAAGGCCATTTTGACTAAGCAGCGCTCTGGTACATTGCTGTTAGGTGAGTTCATGTGATGTATTTATGATTACTCAGTTTTTATTACCAACCTAGGAATATGTTTTGAAATACTAGGGGGAGATAATAGTTTTTAGAGAGCCTCCTGGAGAAGATACCCAAATATATATACTCAAAAGTTTGGTCATATTCATGTGTGTACATTTTCAGTGCAATGGCAACTGAAACAATATAGTTATGGCTAAATATCTTTACTGTACAATATTTTGAATGATTTCAACTGCTAGATTGCAAAATATCCTACATAGACCAATTCCACCTGTATTATTCTCACCTCTCATGCCCATCATCATACATTAGTAAAAGCTTGAAAGATTACTCCAGAATCTTCTGGAGTACAGGTCCTAGACAGGCCAATAATGAGAGTACATTCAAACTGTATAGTAAACTTGTAATCCTCAGATTCTTTACTTTAAGAGAGCCTTTTTTACATTGATTTGTCTGTCTCTCAAGTGATTGGTTGTTAGTCTGCAGAAGATTGTGAGGTATTGCATTAGGCTGAATTTTCCATATGAAAGAACTAATCCTACTAATTGTGTCAGTTGGAACTTGCAGTCAAAGAACCAAGACTGCTAATCCTGTGGACACATTTGGAAATTAGAGGAACTGTTTTGGAATCTGGCTTGTTATTAAGGGACCAGTAACCTGCCCAAGGCAGAAGTTGCATTTCAATTGCACATTGAAATTACATAGTTTTTCACAAAAAATGCTAGTTTCCTTCTTTCTGCTAATGTGAAAGTCAAGTAGCAAATATTTAGCAAAGCTATTACTGACTTCTATTTTCTGATTTGATTAGAATATTCCTTTGAAAAAGTATTCAAAATATATGCTGGACATAAGTATTTTTGCTCTCTAACTTGTTTGGGTTTTGCATTTATAGGTGCTGTGGCTGTGTTTGCTGTGGGACACATAAAAATATCTTTCGTTACTTGGGGTGAAATAGTCTTAGCTATTTTCTCCTTCTTCATTGCTGCAGTTGTGTATATCATGGACACTGTTCATAACATCTGGGTCTGCTATGCTTCCTACATGGCATTTCGAATTGTCTATATGCTACTCATTACAATTGCAACGTAAGTACCTGCTTGCAGACTTTGTCAGTTTATAAGTGTTCTATCTTGTCAGTCCTCAGTTAGATACCATCCATATCTGGTGAGACTGCAAATCCCAGAAATTCTAAATGATCTAATGAGAGTGCTATCCTGATACATATGGAATGTACCACATTGGGGAATGTTGTCATAACTAAACTTAGCCTTGGGAGTAAATTCTCTGTGTTTGTCTGAAAGCTTCAGTCCTGTCACAGTAAAGCCATAAAATAGCCATGAGTTAAAAACATTGATAGGTTGGAAATCTGCGCTGAACCTGTTGAATTGCAACTGATATTAGAAAAATACAACAAAGAACAGTAAATTTGTTTAGTTAAAATGGGGCTGGAAGTTGGGAATGTAAGGGAATGTATCTGCATCTTACTATAAACTTGTAAACATGTTGCCTGGGAAGAACAGCATTTCTGGGACCTCTAACCTAAGCAGATGCTGGACTGGTATACTAATCTTGTATGAGTAGCAGATGGGGAACTAATAGAAGAGAATATATGTAGCTCAGGGTTGAACTATGGAGTCCTTGGCGCTCTCTGAGCTTGGTTGTTTAATTGCAGACGTTTCATTATCTGACTAGGTAACATCATCAGTGCTAGTGAGTGTGGGGTTTGCTTCCTGTTTATATACAGTAGCTTGCCCTGCCAGTGTTGGTGGGCATGTGGTTTTTCTCCTTGGTAGTTTCTTGATTAGGGTATTGTTTCTGCTTGATTGTTTGTCTTCTTGGTGATTCCTTAATTAGGGTATGAGGAACTGTTTTAAATGTCAAGATAGATATGGGGAGTGCTGCATATCTGAAGGTTGAAACTGAATATCAGTTTATGAAAAAGGAAAGTGGGTGGTTATATGTGGTGCTTTTTGTAATTCATGTCATGGGTTGATTGTGATAGACACAAATGACCTTTGGATCCTCAAACTTCCAGGGAAGGTATTTCTTCACTCCAGAAAAGCATTTAATGCTGCAATGATTGCTGCGTTGCTGGATTTTATTTTCACCCCTGGCTATTTGGTTTTTTCCAGCTGTGTTCAGATTTAAGATCATTCCCTTACTTAGTTATACATCCTAACTCTTTTCCTCCATTATTTATAAATGTTATATCGTTTTGAAAGTCATTGTCTTCTTTAAATTCTTGGCTGTTAATATTCACGTACCTCATCAGTCTACCCCAAACTAAATTTCTGCTATAGTTATTATTTGCTTTATATCCTCCCTTTTTACTTAGAGGGCACTAAGTTAGTGAAAGCAGTTCAATTGCTTTGAATTTCCCTTTGCTATTTGGAAGGGAAATGTTATTTTAGTTTGTGGATTAGTGAATTAAGTTCATTATACCGTATATAACAACAGGAACAAACTGTGTTGTTTGTGGACAACCTATCTCACTTCCCAAACTTGATCCACTTGTCTTAAAAATGTCCTGTGTAGGAGGAAATAGGAGAGTTTTCTTCTTGCATAAAGCAGGAAAAAAAATATTTTTCACCACCCTTTGCCCAGAGGAAATAGTAGAGAAGGTGCAGCTTCAGTCCCAGGAGTGGAGCTTTGAGGAAGGGGCTCTCTGTTTCCTAAACCCCAACACCTTATATCAGCTGAGCCTTCTGGGAAAAGAATAGGGATGGGGGTCCCCCACTCCTGGCCTATGAAAATATTTAAGGACAAATTAAATATAGTTTTGTACAGTTGATCCTCAGTATTCATTAAGTCCATATTTGCAAATTTGTCTACTTGCTAAAATTTATTTGTAACCTCAAAATCACACATGTTCCCAGCTGAGCTTAAGCAAGGCAATGTTCTGCCTTCTTGTTTCAGCTCTCATCCTGAAAGTAGGTGTCCTGTATTTCCCCTAGGAGCAGTGGTTCAGTATTTGCTAATTCAGTATTTGCAGCGACTGTATAGACTGTAATTACTGTGAATGATGAGAATTGACTGTATTTTTAAAAATGGAACCACCTCTTTGAGTAAAAACAAGTTTGAACGGTCTCATTTTTAAAAAAATAAAGTGAAAACACAGGTGAGCTTAAACTCTTTTTTGCCTGCAGGTTACTTTTCCATAGTCCTCCTTATCTTTTTCCTTTTTCTCAAATTGGGGTTTGATACCTTTCAGAATTTTTGGGTGGAAAGGTTATAGGGAGATAAGCCATAGGAGGAAGGAAGAGAACAGTCTCCTAACTCATATTCTCTCTTTGTTTTTAAGATTCAGAAAGGTCTATGTGTGAAATATACGGAACTCAAACACTAAAAAATATACATAGCTAATATGGTTACATCTTGATAATTAGCCCTGCAGCCAATGAGTGAAATATGTTGTCTTTAAATTCCATTTTTCTTTTCTTCTTGTGAAGGTTCCAGATTGCTACAAATCTAAGTGTAGAGCGCTATGCCCTTGTATTTGGTGTCAATACTTTTATTGCACTGGCATTGCAGACGGTGCTCACATTGATAGTTGTTGATGCAAAAGGTCTTGGCCTTGATATAATCACACAGGTAAGATTTATTCATTAATTTTGATTGGGTGGGAAGAGAATATACAGCTTTCCACAACCTGTTACCTTGCAGAGATGTTAGACTTCAGTTCTCATAAGCTCCATGCAGCATGTATTCTCCAACATCCATATAGCACCATTTAGGAAGGCTACTTTTGAGTATCTTCAAGGTATGAGAGGCCTGATTAGTCTTTTGGAGGGTAAATAGTACATTGCCTTCTACAGTTGCAAGAAAAAGTATGTGAACCTTTTGGAATTTCATGGTTTTCTACATTAATTTGTCATAAAATGTGA